CAGAAGAGGCTGAGACACCAGCAATGAACCCTTCTTACGGATAATTTTTAAACAGCAGTATTTAACAGGCTTATTTATAACTTTACTGGAGACCACCAGCTATAGCATGGCCAAGGAGAAAGAGACAGATTGCTTGTCTTAGCAACTGGGGCCACCCTTTCCTGCTGTGGGAAATCCCTGGAAAACAGAATGGGAGGGAGAAAACTATAGGCTTTTTCTGAGAGCTGGGTTTAAGCCACAAAAGAACTGGGCAAGTGCTCCTTGTAGCTCCTCAAACATGAGATTTTGGGGCCCTGCTATGACCAGCTGAGACTAACCAGTAGAACACAGTCTACCTTTTCCATGCAACTAGACTAGAACAATCTACATACAATCCAGCTCTGGGAAGAGTTCCTGGGGCAGTAGTAAATCTGTATCAGTAGTAAATCCATATCAATGCAAATTCAAAACTGTTATCTTTAAATCTAAATAGAAAACTAGGCCTGCTAGGTGGTTGCTAATCTCCCACTTTTTGCAACCACAGGCAAGCAACTAAACAGGTGACTTCTGAAGTCTCTGATGGGTGCTATACCTGGTGGGGAATGGCCCTCAGTTTGGTGGGTCACAAATTGTGTTGCCAAGTACCAAAACAACAAAGAAATGTGGAAAGCTAAGGCTTGTGGCCTAGGGAATGGGGCAGGTGCCTCTGTGTATGCACATGCATCAGTTTAGAAAGCACCTTTTTATCCTTGCAAATGTCAATAAGCATCCTGAGCACCCCAAATGAAAACACTTGGGTGTCAAGCACAGGGATATTTGCTCATTGCTACTATCAATTACCAGCTACATCTGGCTTTCCAAGAGCAGCAACTCTTCATTTTTCAGCAACAGATATGCATTTCTGAAACAGGAATGATCAGGTCCTTGACACTCTATAGGACATGAGGTCTGTTAAGTGCAATATGGCAAGCCAACTTGGGCTTTTCTTATTCCATGTGTTGATAGCTCCATATGGCTTGTGGTAATCTGGAAACAGAGTAATCTGGTTTACTTTTCTTAACAACAGTCTCTCCTTGAATATCTTCTGAGTAGCACACTGTAGGGCATATGGGTGCTTTGAACAGATGCCAGCAACAGATATGCATTTCTGAAACAGGAGTCGCAGGAATGATCAGGTCCTTGACACTCTAATGGGACATGAGGTCTGTTAAGTGCAATATGGCAAGCCAATTTGGGCTTTTCTTATTCCATATGTTGATAGCTCCATATGGCTTTGTGGTAATCTGGAAACAGCGTAATCTGGTTTACTTTTCTTAACAACAGTCTTTCCTTGAATATCTTCTGAGTAGCACACTGTAGGGCATATGGGTGCTTTGAACAGATGCTGACTGGTGGTATAGCACAAATGAGATGGTGGGTGCTTAAACTGGCTAAGTGGGATGGGAAAGTAGTCCAAGTACCAAAACAACAAAGAAACATGAAGGTAATGTAGCTCAATTCCTGGAACTTTGGAAAGATTGCTTTGAAGTCAAGCAAGTGCATTCAATTCTTTGAAGAGGAGAAAGTTTCTGTACTTCCTGTTCTTAGTCATGTGAAAACAAATTGTCTCACTTGGCACACAAAGGGCCATAAAAATGCTTCTTAGAAATAACACATTTTCTCTCTCTCCAGACCTCAGGAAAGATGAGCACATCATGCAGTTCACTGTTCAGGACATGACATGACTGCCTTAAGTGTTACGGTGTATGTGTGGGGGGAGCTTATCCATAAGACTTAGAATGTATCTCTGTATGTTGAACCATCTAAGATTTTAAAGTTTGTCTTTTCTCCTGGTCACTTCAGTACATGACAGTTGCAGGGAAAAGCCTGCTCATCCTGACCCCAGTCCATTCTCAGAAATCCAAGCCAGCTGAGAACAATCCCAGATTGAGTGAAGTCAATCACAAGCCTAGCACCAGTGTTCCCTCTAAACTGAATTAGTGTGAGCTAGCTCACAGTGTTTTAGCCTCTGGCTCACACATTTTTGTCTCAGCTCAGGAAGGATGGCTCCAGAGCAAACTGATTGATGCAGTAGCCAAATCTCTCGCTCACAACTTTAATGCCGGTAGCTCACAAAGTAGAATTTTTGCTCATGAGACTCCACAGCTTAGAGGGAACATTGCCTAGCACTAACTTGATTTAGGCTGGAATTTTCATTCCTAGTTTGATTCAGAAGGAAGAGAGAGATCTCTTAAAAGCAAATGCCTCCCACACTAATAGACAGCAGAACACTCCTTGCACCAGGGATCTCCTGGTGCTCTGATCATTAAATTGGCTGCAGTTGGAATGACTGTGCCACCTCCTGGCACTCTGGCAAAGACCACATTATTTCCAGATCCTTTTCCAGGAAAGCTGAACTGGTCAAACGGAGTCTGCCTGTTGTCCCCAAAGAAACCTGGCAGCTTCCGAAGGAAAACAAAAGCCAGCCTCTGCAAATGTTATTTCAGAAAAGAGGGGAGGGAACACTCTCCCGCTGCTGAGGCTCTAAGGAATTAAAATGTGTGTCAATTGACTACGAATGATCTGTATTACTTTATATGGTTATGTAAAATGAGAAAAGGAGCTGCGGTGGCTCAAGTGGTTAAGACGCTGAACTGCGGAAGTTCAGTAGTTCAGCAGCTCGAGACCCGAGTGTGCCGCATGACAGAGTGAGCTCCCATCTCTAGTTCCAGCTCCTGCCAACCAAGCAGTTCGAAAGCAAGAAATTGCAAGTAGATAAATAGGTACCACTTTGGTGGGAAGGTAACAGCGTTCCGTGCGCCTTGGTGTTTAGTCATGCCGGCCACATGACCACGGAAACGTCTTCGGACAGCGCTGGCTCTTCGGCTTTGAAACGGAGATGAGCACCGCAACCCTAGAGTCGGATTCGACTGGCTTTCGAGCAAGGGAACCTTTAACCTTTACTTTAAAATGAGAAAACAGCAGTGTTACCTACCTGAAGCTCTATTAAGCAATTACAATCTATTAAGATTGCAAGGACTTAAGTTAGAAATGTTCCATGCCATACTCTCCCATCTCAGGGAAAGCAGCAGTTCTGGGAGTGTCACTCTTCCTTTGGAGGCTGCCACATTAATACTTCCTGAAATGCTTCTGTGATGCTGAATTGTTTTGCCTAATGTGTATCAGACATTCTGGTATCCACTGTTCTGGGGGATAAACAACACCCCCCCCACCCTTATTAGGGAACTTTGGCCAAGATGCCCAGCCTCACAGAAAAGAGAATATCAGTTATTTCCACTGTGTTCCTGTCACCTTAAGAGAAGGTCAGATCTGTCATGTGACTTTATTTTTCACCATCCTTACATCATTCTCCTCTCCTCCCAACAACTTCGTGTGTGAGGTAGGTTAGGCTGAGATTGGCTCAAGGTCAGCACCTTACAGACTAACAAAATATGTGGCAGGGTATGAACTTCTGTGAGTCACTGCTCACTTCTTCAGATAAAGATAGCTTTTATCTGAAGAAGTGAGCAGTGACTGAAAAAGTGAGCAGTGACTCACGAAAGCTCTTTAAGGTGCTACTAGACTCTTCCTCTTCTCTGCTGCTACAGACAAACTAACACGGCTACCCATCTTGATGTGATTTTAAAGACCATGCCATTGTTGGCACAGGTACTGAGAAATAAACATGTATAAAAGAAAGAAAATGGGAGGGATTTCAGCCAGAGTGGGCCAGTAAAGAGTACGCTGGACTTGGGTATGACTTCCAGTCTCACCTTAGCTATTCTCTCCCTAGGTGCTCTAAGGCATTCTTAGCCTCAGTTTTTCCTCTGTAAAATGGGAATGATAATGGTTGACCTCCCAAGAAGAATAAGAACTGCAAAGCATTTCACAACCTTAAAGTGCTGCAGAGGTTAACAACATTAGCTTAAACTTGTTGAATCAGATTGGTAGATTCACAAAGAACCTGAGAAACGGAGCAGCTTTTCCCACAGAGAGTCTTACAAATCATACAGTGAAATGCAGTAATGACAACCTTCATGAGTACTTTAGTGTGGAATTATATAAAGTGCAGTTGGCCCAAAAAGTATACATTTGGGCCATCCTAAAGCAGTAATGTTTGGTGAAAGGTCTCCAACTGTGAGCCTCAATCTTTTTAAAGAAACCCCAGGCTGCTCTGGACAGAAAACCTTAACAAGAAGCTTTTTAAAAAATCTACTTTTCCTCGCCTACCATAATATGAGGCCAGAGCAAACAAGGGCATTCCTTAGGACAATTGCCTCATAGCACATTTCAACCGCTGTAATTATGTAAAAAATAGCATTGTGCATGTTTTCTACTCTCCTAAAGCATTTTAAGGAGATTAGGTTCTAATTCCTACTTGTGTTAAGAGACTATAAAAATACTTCAGGTTATTCCATACAAAAAAGCATATTTATGTAGGAATTTGTGCAATTGTCCTAGCCAATACATGGGAGCTAAAAGCTGGAATCCTCTCCTTTGCCAAAACCGAGCCTTGATAAGGTGAACAGAAGGATGCTAAGAGGCAAGTAACTAATCAGTCTTGAAAATGTACCTTAAAGTATAGATTTAAGAACACAAAGATGGTACCAGATCATCCTAAACTCAGAATAATGGCTCTAATAAAGGCTCTAATGCACAGAACAATGGTTCTAATAAAGGCTCTAATTCACAGGGAATCCAAAAAGTATATACCAAAAGCATAACATGTCCTTGGAAGCTATTTCCAAGTGTGCGGCTTGTGTTCATCATATTCATGCACATTTCAAAATGAACAGACAATGCAGAATAAACTGCTCAGTTATTACCCATACACACTTTGGTTTTTTCCTACAGCAAATTCATCTCTTGCTTCTTTAGTCATTCCTCCTGGTTTCTGATTTTTCTTTTCTTTTAAAACAACCACTAGATAAACCATCACGATAAAACTGACCCATATTTTATTTACCATTACAAACAAATATGTGTTTGTCTGTCTATTAAGCATAAAAACCTAATAAAAATACTTAAAAAAAACCCCCCCGATAAAACTGTCCCAAGATTGCTGAATTTGGGCTTGAACTAAGTTTAATTCAAATTCACAGTGATCAAAACAATTCATAGAGAGATACATATACATTCTGATACAACAATTCTTACGTGTTAACGGTCTGAACACCCAAGCTCTGTAGGGGTGGGCCCGAGGCACTTTGCCAGCTTAAGGGGCTGAACTCCACAGTCCAAAGAGTTGCACCCCCACATTCCAAAGAAATCCAAGACAGGCATGCTTTTTTGGATCACACACACTTTTGATACCACATGTCACACAACCACTGTGGTTACCTGAACGGTTCATCTTGTCATGAACATGTATTTCTGGTAGCATTTGCAACACTGGGAACTCTAAAAGATGAGCAGAAACAAGCTTTCTTCCAGCCTTCTTAAATTAAACAGAAATCAAGTCAGGAAGGTGGTAACTGTAGCCTGCTTTTAGGTTTGCACTTATGAACACTTCCCCTTCTTAACAAAGCCAGTTTTGTCAATGCAAAGTGTAGTTCTTCATCCCATGTTAACATTCATTTTTCATAAGGCTTGTATTAGCATGTAGTTTTGTGGATCAGGCAGAGCAGAGCAGGATTCATGTATGATGTTCTGCCTGGTCGAATTTAGAAGATTTATCACCTACACTGCCTCCTGATGTAAAGCACTTGTTGGTAAAATTCAATGCCAAAAAATGGATGCAGCTAGGCTAAAAACAGAAGTGTGATAATTTATAGTTTGTCTGAAACTTTCTTGTCTAGTATCCATTACTGGCAAGGCATTGTCATCCCAAGAATGCAACGTCAATCAGTAGTAGGTGAGGTAGCACATGACTTCTTCATCATGAAGGAACTGGTGAAAATACACCCTGGTAACAAGTCCCAGAAAGTGAAACAGAGGCTCAAATGCCTGTTCCAGCACCGAACACTACACAAAGGACTCTTCTTGCAAGACAGGAATCCTGGGAAGGCAGAACTATTCATGACCTTCTTTTATATTTTTGGATATGCAAAAATCTTGGCCTGTGTAGAAAAAAGACAAAATCACAGCAATAAAATCCACTGGAGAAACTACAAGAGTTGAAGTTCCCTTCATAAGGTCACTTTGCCAAGTCATGCATGCTGTGGCTGAATGGGCTCACTCTGGCCTGCAGGCCCTGTTCCACCCTGCCCTCCAAGGTTTCCCTAACACCTAGAGATACTTTCCTTTCTCTCCTGGGTAACCACTGCAACCACCTGACCTTTGTATGGAATTCCCTGCTGGGAGGGTCAGGACTCCCAGCTTCCCTTCCAAGTTCTGAGGCCTTGCCTCTGTGTCTCCCGCTGCCCAGCACCTGGTCACCACAGGGACCGTTGACTGCCTTGTGCACCCCTGGAGGAATAGTCGTTTGCCAACTGACTGTTTTCCCCCTGGCACTCCATTTAAAATAGCGTGTCCGAGATGGTGGAGGTCTATGTGGTACTGAAAACCACTACCAGCATCATAAGTTATAAAGTATGTTGGGTATATATTTGGGTATGTTATAGGTATGTAGGGCTATCTTTCAGCTATGCTCCTGCAGAGTGCAGGGGGTTGGACTAGATGACCTGCAAGGTCCTTTCCAACTCTAACAATCTATGATTCTAAGTATTTACTAAAAAGAAAATGTTCACAAGCATACTTTTAGAACAGCACCAGATTGAGCAAGGGATTCAAAAGAAATGGGTAAAATGCCATTCCTCTGTCCCTCTCTCTATACATGCACTATCAGATTTTAAAATATAGGACAGACTCCTTAGCTGAGAATGTTATAGACCTCTACAGTATATCCATTACCTTGCAGCTTCCTCCAGCTGTCTAGGCCAGCACATGGTAATGGCCGCCTTCTCCAGACCTCAGTTAAGAGTTCCATCTGCTCTGATGGACTCTGCACAAAAGAGGCCTTCCTCCTTGCTTCCAGGAGTTTTATTTTCTCTCTGTTCCCCACCCATTGACCAGGTTAGGCTGGGTCTAGGAAGCTTTTCTTGGAGATCTCCAGGAGTTCCTTCCTGAAGTCTCTCTAGTATTTAATACCTCCAGATCTCTGTTCCCTGCTTGAAAAAAGGGGGGGGAGACTGGACCCTCCTATTGTCTCCAGCTAGACCTATGAGCATTTCTTAAGAGGTAGCTGAGGTGAACCTGGAAAGCTATTGACTAACTTCCTCCTCCCTGCCTGTTCTCTGCCCAGAGAGAAAAACTTTAAAAAATTCCTGGTAAAGGTTTCAACTCAGGTCAGACCTCCACTCAAAAAAGGCATTTCTTCACACACACTATGACAGAACAGAAATATTTGTCTCTGGCTTCGGCATAGACTACATCTCTATTTCCCTATCATCACAAACATGACTTCAAAGGCATTTCCACTCGTAACACATGAGAGTTTGTGTGCACTCTCCTCCATCAGCCAGCATTTCCCCCCCACTAAACCATTTAAATGCTATTCTTCTATAGTGCAATAATGTTACAATGATCTATTGCCATGATCTACAGGTTCCTCTATCATCACAAATCAGTCAATCCTAAAAGAAATCAACCCTGACTGTTCCCTGGAAGGCCAGATAATGAAACTGAAGCTCAAATACTTTGGCCACCAAATGAGAAGGGAGCACTCCCTGGAGAAGACCCTGATGCTGGGAAAGATTGAAGGTCAAAGAAGACGGGGACGGCAAAGGATGAGATGGTTAGACAGTGTCATCGATGCAACGAACATGAAATTGAGCCAACTTCAGAGGACGGCGGAAGACAGGAGGGCCTGGCGGGAGATGATCCATGGGGTCGCGAAGAGTCGGACTCGACTGTGCGACTGAACAACAACAACAACAGGTTCCTCTAAATTCTCAGCTTTCACTAAGAAATTTACTGGTTCATGAAAAAAAGTAAAATCCCTCAAAAAAACTTTCAGTGGTGTGGCAAGGCAAATGGCAGCTATGAGGAGCTGCAGGAAAGAAAATGGCACCAGTGTGGGCAGGACCTTTAGAATTGCACACTTTCCCACCCAGATGTCTTTTTAATGCACTTGGTTCTGCAAAACTACATTACTTGATAGAAGAACAAAGAAAAAAACTAGCAGCCCCTGCTCCACAACTCTTACTTTCCACAAAAGTCCTTGTGGGTGGCAGACACAAAGAGGGATAAATCCGGGTGACTGTGCAGCCAATTCTTGACCATCTTTGGGTGCCTGGGGTCAACTTCCAGAAACATGCTCCTGAAAACAGAGGAAAAGTGAGAAACAGCTTGATCTAAAATTCTTTAACCGGTGTACATAATTAGACTGATACAATGAAAATGTGGGATCGGTAGATCCATAGTACATACGGAAGTATTTACTATCATTCTCATTTTTATCCTGGCCATCCTCCAAGGATTTCAAGGATGGCACACGTCATTCTCCCCTCCTTTTTTTATAACCTACAGGGTTAGCCTGACAAAGACTGGCTGGCCCGAAGTCATGCACCGACTTTCATGGAAAAGAGATTTGGACACAGTTGTCCCCAGTCCTAGTCTGACTAACCACTACAACTGAGAGCCAGCTTGGTGTAGTGGTTAGTATTGGATCAGACCAAAGGCATGAGAAGCTTAGCACTCTATTTCCTACATCAGTTGAGAAACTAATAAGCAAAGCAAGGTGGAGATTTCAATATTCCGTTGCTTGCCCCCAGAATCTGTTAAACAGAGATTCACTGCTTCATAACATGGAGGTTATATTTAGCAGGCATGACTGCTAGCCATTGATAGATCTTTTCCTCTGTAAATTTGTATCATCTGTTTCTTTAAAGCTACCTCAACTGGCTGTCATCACCACTTCCTCCTGTCACAATCAATACTCAGCCCTGAGGGCACATGACATGGTGTCAGTGCAGAACGTTCTGCCAATCAGTTTCACTGAATGACCCTGAGAGTTCTAGTACAGTGAGGAATTCAGCTTGCATGTTTTACATATTCCTAATAATCATAATCCTCACCTCCCAGATCGTTCCTTTCAAGCAACAGAGGAAAGTCTAAACCATTACTTGTGTATACCTTCCTGTATTGTGTTGTCTCTTCCTGGAGTACTTGGTTATTTTCAGGCCAGAGCATAAGGATTTAACACCTTTTATTAGAATTAGTGTCAGGCAAGGAATCTCAAAACAGAAATTCCAAGTGCATATTGATAGCTGTCTTAATGACTATGTACCCAAACCAGTGTGGGTTTGTTTTTTTTGGTAAAAAAAGGGGGGATGTTGGAACTCATATATAACGTCACACTGATTTCCCCCAATTCCTCCCCACAGGACTTTGGAAAGACCCCCAAAAGGTGCTGGTATTCAGTACTGCCACAAAAACCCCTGACACAAACCTAGCCTTTTTCTCAATTTGGTAACAGCTTATGGTAGTTTTGCAGGCTACAAATAAAACTGTCATAGAAAGAGCCAAACCCCAGCAGTAAGTGCTTCTCAGAATTCCACATTTTCCCCACACAAAACATTCCCTTTGAATCAACCAGAGACTCAGTCACACTAACCAATGGCTGTAGATCCCATTCTGTGACTTTGGCAAAATTGTTTTTCCTGCCAACGCCTCCTCTACTTCTAGGGCAAAAAAACCAAATGAAAACAAAACAAAGCTCCAAACTAAAAAGTGGAAATGCTAGGAAACAGTGGTTACGCTTCTAGGCTAAAAATGAAAAGTGCTGATATAATCACTAAAGCATGAGGTCTCAGGGTTCCACTTCACAGGAGTGATTTTAAGTTGCTTTATTTGAGCAGCTCAGTCATCAGCACTTTGAAAACCCACAAAAGATGTAGCAATATGATGGTCACAAGTTTTCACTCTTCTTGGCTTAGGAAGAAACACTGCAATTATTTTTGCACCCCCCCTATATAAGCTATGATCCAAGCCTCTTCCAAATGTTTATTCTTCTAAGCTCAAATACTTGATTTTTAAGAGACCTAAATTTTAGAAGGCTTAAAACTTTCATTTGCTTTTTTAGATGGTGTGTTTCTGCATTCTGCTAGCTGAGGAATACTCTAAGGCTGAAACGACATGTGATATTTTCTAACTCATCTCCCACTGTTGGCATTCGTAGGTGGAAAATACAACTTTCTTGTGTTTTTTAAATGCAGATGTGATTCTGGTCTAAGCCACATTACGTAAGTGCTGTTGCATCACAACCAACTTGTGGCAACCCCAGCAAGGGGCTTTCAAAGGCTAGTGAGAAGCAGAGGTGGCTTGCCATTGTCTTCCTCTCCAGCGACTTCCTTGGTGGTGTCTCACCCTGCTTAGCTTCTGAGACTTGACAAGATCAGGCAATACCATGCTGCCTTCCCTCCCCAGTCTAAGCTAGGGATAAGCAATTTCCTCAGCCCAGCGCCTGCATCCTCCCTGATAAAACTGCTAGAAGGGCTCATTAGCCCCAACCTTAGGTCAATGCTCACCACCTCACACCTTAGGCAAAAAGCATGTCTCATTAAATGTCGTGCCAGCCACCCAGGACTGTAGCCTGAGGAATGGGGCTACCAGTAATCCTCGATCTCTTCAGGCCAGGGACCCAACTTTAACCCCATCCTGCATAAGTTTGTCTACAAGTCATTCCTTCTCCCAAGGGGCTCTAGAAACAGCAGTTGTAGGGTGGGGTAGAGATCCCTAAAAGAACTTTTGTCACCCACAGTGAATAATTGCCAGGATTTGGTGGTGATGGAAGGCCCGTTAAACGAGCATAAATCAGTACTGTCCAGCCAACCATTTACAATCTTCTTCCCAAGCCCTGCTCTCTGTGCATGCAGAGGTGAAGTGGCTGGTGATCAGAGACAGGGCTTTTTCAGTGGTAGCATCTTTCCTTTGGAATGGCCTCCCAGCTGAGACTCACCCGGCACCTACGTTACTGTCCTTCAGTTGCAAGGCCAAACCATTTCTTTTAATTTAAGCTTTTCACTGAGGGCTTTCATCTTTTTAAACTGCTTCTATGGTCTGCTTCTAACCTGAGGACTGATTTTATGAATATAATTTTAGGCTACTGGATATTTTAGGCTACTGATGGGTTTTTTTGGGTCCAATCGACCCACACCAAAAAACACCAGTTAAAACAAATTGCACACCCCTAGTCAAGAGCTCATGGTGGGTCTCAGACTGCCAAGGATCCTATCAGAATCCACTGACAAGATCAATCAGAAACTGTCAACAATAAAAGGAGAAGCTGGTGCTTTGGATACCTCAGGAGCCAGATCGACTCTCAACTTGACTTTACTACTGCCTGTAAAAAACACCACAATTCTGCTAGTCTCTTCAAGAAAATGGATTTTGTCCTTTTCAGAGCTCCAGTATATGCCTCTGATTTACAAATGTAGCAAATGGGCATATTCTAATATGTTTTTCGTGAATCGGGATTATTCAAAATGTAGTAACGGACCAGCATTACAGCAGGATTTATACAGAAGCGACTAATTCAGAATATTATTTTGTCTACACTAAAGGCCTTTTCATCAACTTGTTTTTCCCGTTATAGTGTGCCAATATAACATGAATGCTTTTGATATTGCTGTTAATAATATTGTCTTTGTTCCCTACTATTAATGTTTCCTATTATTTTATGAATGGAATTATGTGTCCAGTTTCATTAACATTAACTGTTCATTCTATTCTTTTTCAAGTTGTTGACTCAACAACTTTTTTTCTTTCTTTTTTTTAAGTGGTTAACTCAACTAACTTTCCATACCCCTTCTAGCACTGCTGTTGGTCCACGAAGGCTTATTTATCAGGTTTCCACTGGAGGCTGCTGCATAGCTAAGAGAACACTGCTAAATACCACATTTCAGTTCCTTTCCAATCTTACACACTGTCAGTGCCATCCTAAGTTATACCTTCTCAAGTCAATTGAGATCAATGGGCTTAGAAGGATGTAGCTGTGCTTAAGATGGCACTGTTAATATGACTCAAGAATTTCTCAGCCTCCACAATATAAGTTTAACTCACAAGAACTGCTATATATAAAGAACTGATATTTTGTGACTTATTATTTTGTAGAGCTTTTCTCAAGTCTGATAAAATCTTCTAAAATGTTGTAGTTATGCAATGAGACAGTGGGTTGTTATTTGTTCAGGATATTGGCCTTGTATTAACATGCTTCTCTACTTGTAATTATCTGGTTAATGAAGCATACACTTAGGAGAGACTTCTTAAACTTGTTTACCACATCTGCTAAGTTTTTCTTCTTCCCACCCTTTCTTTGGGTAGATCAGCACTAGCAGAGCTAGTTTTTCTGGCTGATGGTATATCTCTAACACCTGTAAGTCACACCTTCTGATATGTATGAGTTGCAGCAGGACACAGTATAATTTTTAGAGAAGTTTTTTATGACCACGTCTCCTTCCCCATCTTTATTTCCCCAAAGGAACTGCTTCAAAGCTCTGCAACACATTCTTGTAGGGTCACTTTTGAAAAGATGAACACCTCTTCAACCCCCAATGACTTATTTTAATTCACCATTTGGGTGCTCTTTTGACATTTCCTTCTTTTTTCTCTATCATTTTAAAAAAATCGCTCATCCTTAAATTGTAGAGACACTGTCGTTTTAAGCACAGTGACACCCTTCTAAGACCATTTACTTCAATAGCACTGAAATGTGACTAGTGACCTTCAGACATACCAAGAAACAGAGGGCATAAACATGTATTACAGAGGACCTAGACATGTTTTACCTTAGGCTACAGGAAGTTCTTCAAGCCTAAAGGAGACTTCCTCCAACTTGTATTTCTTCCATTAGAGGAAAAGCCACTTAAGTTGAAGGCTTCAAACTTTGCTCGAGTAGTAGGATATATGACACTATGGGTGCGCTCAGACGGGGGCTTTACAACGGTATAGGTGCTGGTTCCAACCGGTGTACTTACCGGGGTTCACACCGTGAACATCTGCCTCCCGTCCCTAACCGTTGTAAAGGCCTTTAAACCGTTGCACTCTGCCACTAGGTCCCCAAGTGGTGGTATCCTGAGTGCAACGGTTGCATTCGCTTAACCCCGCCGTCTGATCACTCTCCACCGGTGCCTAGTCACTTCCGTTCGGAAGCCTGAGGCTTCCGATTTCCCCCCGCCATTTTTTTTAACTAAGCAATATGCGCTTGGGCGAAGCTTTGCCCTGAGCGTTTGTTTAAAAAAACAAAAAAAGCCCTTAGTGTAGCGTATCGGAGGAGTCCGGGACTTAAGGGAGGCCAGTTTGGTCTTTAAACTTTAAAGGTAAGGGCTTCTCTACTTGTAATTATCTGGTTAATGAAGCATACACTTAGGAGAGACTTCTGTGGATGGCTGCCTATGCGCATGCTCAAACTGAGTTAAAAAAAAAAAAAAAGCCAACACCCGCAGTGTGTGAGCGGGCATACAGCGATGGGATCTGCAAAATGGAGGTGAGTGTGATCGTGTTTCAGCCGGCATAAACTGCACCGGTTCCAACCAGTACAGTTTATGCCGGCTGAAACGCCGCATCTGAACGCCCTATGTGTGATCTATGGCAAGGGGATGTGTGATTGAGATTACAACCAGTAACTATCTGGAAACTGGCATACAGTAATACTTCTGTAAATAAAATTACAGTAACTTATTTCATTGGCAAGCCACTTTGGAATAAGATTGTCACAAAGCATAACTCCCCCCCTCCTAAAAAAAATACTGGAAGAGGTGAATCAGGGGAAGAGGCAAAATCCTTCAGGAAAAAGAGAAGTTTTCAAAGTGTGTTCCTGTTCTTGGTCTTCCTTCTGTCCTGTATTACGGAAGAAAATCAGAATAAACGTAACAGAGTAGAAAGGGTTAGGATGTCCCCTTTCATTTGTTTTATATCTTCCATCTGAGGAGGGGAAAAGAACAGAAATGGAAAGGAATCAGGAAAATCAGAAGCTGCTGTGATTTGCAGAACTCCATTTATTCCTCTGTCCAAGGTTTTCTTCTGGCTGCAAGGCTGGATGGCAACCATCAGGTGGCATCATTCCCAGTTCCTGAACCCTGGAACTGAGAAAACAGATACTGTCTGAAGTCCGCAAAGAAGCCAGCATGAAAACTCACCCAAAATCTTTAAGGATGTAAGGAGCGAGGTTCAGAATTTCTTTAATAATAGTCATCCCATCATGCCCACCTTCCAGGGCGCCAAGGTCCTCATAGCTAGAAACCAAAGACAAAGTCTATAAAATAAAGCATCTGCCAACATCACGAACAGAAACAAAACATATATGTCACCTGAAAACAAGCACTAAAGAGAGGTCCTACTAGTAACCCTGCAGGTACACAACATGGAAAATGGAGAGTGCTGATATGGAATTTCCACTATAATTCCCTCAGTGACTATGCCACCCATAAGACATCTGAGGAGGGGGTGAGACGGCAAGGCCTTCTTCATCAACATGTTTCCTCCCCTCCTAGTATTCCCTGTAGCTATTCTACTTGGTCATTATTTAACATTAAAATATTTGAATTTGTTTGTTTTCCTTTCCCCTCACCTTTATTTTGCATTGAGTTTGTTAGCCAGCCATTCTAGCAAGGACTGTTTTATCCTCTTGAACAGTATTTTAAAAGTCCTTGAAACCCTTACTGAATACATGTTTATTATTAACTGATCACTGGACAAAATGAAATCTAATACCCTGATTTCGTTTTGTGCTGACTGGTGATTGTAATGCTTGGAAATGAATGCCTGGAAATGTCCTGATGAGATTCAGATATTCCGTCTCTTACATGGAAATCCTAAACACAGTCATACCCTTCAATGGGCTTAGAAAGGTATAACTCTCCTTAGCATTGCACTGTTAGAGGGTGAAATTAATCCATCTAACTTATGCTTACCCTCAGGGCAGCATACAGCATACTATACTTTTATCCTTACAACAACCCTTGAAATTTAAGCCAGGCTGAGAAAGAATGGTTGGCCTATGAAACCCAGTGACCTTCATGACAAATCTGTGATTTGAAGTCAGGCTAGATCCAGTTCTATCCTAACCTTTTAACATTTACCACACACTGGTTCTCAGTTTTATCATTGCTAGGTCTTAGATTTTTAATTGTTTTATATTTTTATTTATTGTATCGTTTCTATTGTTTTTTCAGGTATATTTTATATGCTGTTAGCTGCCCCGAGTCTTGCTTGGGGGAGAGAGCAGGACATAATTTGATAAATAATTAAAATAATTAAAAATAATAATAGTGGCTGATGGTGAAATCCCAGAAATCTTCAAAGGGCAAGAGCTGGTGGCGGTGTGTGTGTGAGCAGCAGCAAGATTAGAATGTAGAAGTGTCTGACTACCGAAGGATCTCTGGTGCCAAGTGACTCATGTCTTCATGGAAAACGTAAGGTGGATTACTGATTATAATGTCTACCAAACCCCAGTGCAGCAAACATTCCCACGAACCTGCATCAAAGAAATGGCAACAACACATTTTAAGGATAATAATATACCCAAATGTTACTCCCCACATTAAATTTCTTGACTATCATATTGCCCATCCTGCCCGAGTAGCTTGTCACATCCTAAACCCTCCCCCAATAATATACATCCTAAACACATACATCCTAAACCCTCCCCCAATAATCAAGCACATTTAAAAAATCCCATCCAACAACCGTTTGTAAAATGATGTTTAATGGAAGTACAAGTATTGTATCAGGCTGGCTTTAAAAATCAACATAAACTGTAAGACATGGTAACTTGAGAATAACCAATAGTTTACGACAACAAGCTGTTATTTCCTATTGGTGGGAGAGGCAAGCAGTTAGGATGTCAGCCTTTATTAAAATGCTGCACATAATAAAGAGCTGCAATCCGAACACTTTCTTGGGAGTAAGCCCCACTGAATAAAATGGACTTTTATTTGACCTGCTTAGGAGTTGTCCTGAAGGTTTTCAAGAGCCAAGTAGTGGCTGTATCTAAAGAATCTGGCAAAATGGCAGCTTCTGCCAAGACTTTCAGCTGAGGAGCCGGGAGACGAATCACCAGAGACCACGGAATGGTTACTGAATGGGAACCAGGTAAGTATCCCAACATTCAAATTGTCCACAAAACAGGCAGAAATACTGTACTTCCATTTGATAAGCTTTCCCAAGCCTTCCTGCAAAAAATCCTGTGGGTGGCTATGTGGGATAGGGGCCTCCCGTACAGCAGTGCTGAGCCTTGGAACTTTCCCCTAAAGGAAGTTCATTTTGCTTTATCTGTGCTGGCATTTGGCATGAGGCAAATGATGTGCTCATTAGAAAAGCATCTGATAGCAAGGTACATTCTTTTGCTTCTCCCATTTCCAGTTTTGTTCTTGGCTTCTTTCCCCTCCTTAAAGCTTGTAGGCTGCCGTTGTTCTTTTTGTACGGATTTTAATTTTAACTGATTGTTCTTAGCTTCCCTTAGGGATTTTACAAAATCAAAGGGTGAGTTACACATGATTAATTAAAATCAATTAAGTTAAAAATAAATCAATGTAGCCATATGAGCTTCGTACTGTACCTCCTATGCTTTGCCAACATGGATGCCTTGGGGTGGCATCATCGTAAAGGTGCTCCCCTCAGATGCTCAGAATGTGAAATAAAGTGCTTGGGGCCACTAAGCACTGGTATGACGATGGAGATTCAGAAGCCGTTACTGACAATGGCATGCTGCAAGACACTATATGGTGTAGCCATTCTACCTTCGTTTCATGTATGACAGATCCCATCTTTCTCCTCTTGTCCTATTGCAAATGAAATGTGAAAGGGACTTACTTGAAAAGACATCATGATGAAGAATTTTAATCCTCTTTTGCAGCTGTAACCTACAAAGAAGAATTTAACAACTAATCAGAACCCATATCATAGGTGCAAAACCACAAGAGTAATGCGGCAAAAACCATGGAGTAACCATCTTGTTTTCTTTTGCACCAATGTGCAACAAAGCAATGTGTGCAATCAATCAACCACATCATGTTGGTGCAACCCACCATTTAGGCAGAAGTTTCTTTAAGCAATAAACTTTGCAATCATTGCAGTACTTCCCCAATTACCCTGCAAAGTAAATCATTATTATTCCATTTTCAAATCCAATGCTGAGAAGTACGCATCTACTGAGAGCCCAACCAGCCCATGGCTAAACATGGATGCTAGTCCAGGTCTTGCAGGCCCATTGGCCCAAACTGGCTTCAGTAAACGTTGCATTATTACACCTTTCAGTAGCCACTCTAGACTTATTGCCCTGGGGTTTTTTTGCATCAAGTTGGTAGATGTACCTGATGTGTTCACTTAAAATATGGATCAAATTGAACAGATCCATGCACATAAATGGTGCTGGTGCTGTTGTTGGTTGTGATCTTGCCAGTTCCCATTTGTGCTGCAGCTCTCCAGCTCAGCACCATCCTCTAGGAGCAGCATTTTGGGCTGCGTGGGGGAAGGGGAGTCAACCTCTGCAGGGAAAATCCTACTGCATGCAGCAAACTTTGGCAGAGACTGCACCACAGAATTTTCTTATTATTTCTGGGATAGGGTAAAATGCACTAGGCAGAAGGCTGATCCCACAGGCCATTCTATGCTGCTGCTACCCTCTGCCCACATCTCCACTTCCAATTCACATCCAAGGCAGAATCACTGTCAGATTTGTGTTTTAGGGCACATGGGATCAGTTTCAAAAAATGATTTAAAGGCTAAAGGGGAGATGTTGTGATGTGTGTGTGTGTGTGTGTGTGTGTGTGTGTGTGTGTGTGTGCTGGAGAAGGGTTGTTCTAAGCATGGGGACAGTAATGGCAAAAGGCATGAAAAGGGAAGAAGAGCAGTGGGGTAGATTAGCTTGAACTGAACTATCAAGAAAGAAAATGAAAGGAGATGAGACAGGAGATATAAAGCTAAGTACTCAACAGGAGAAACTGAGGAGCACTTACAACTGAAATCAATATGACTTAAGTGCACAGTAGAGTTGATGCAAACAGCAATAGGAAGTAAAGCCTAATTGAGTGTCACCATCATCCTTTTTGGAAAGGCTGGG